TTAAATCTGTTCTTCACTTCCACTGTGTATTCATAAGGGATTTGGTTTAGATTATACCTGAGTGGCCCAGTGGTTTTTCCTACTTTCTTCAGTTTAAGCTTGAGGTTTGCTATAAAAAGCTGATGATCAGAGCCACAATCAGTTCCAGGTGTTTTTTTTTTCCTGACTGTATAGAGCTTCTCCATCTTTGGCTGCAGAGAATATAATCAATCTGATTTCGGTATTGCCCATCTTGTGTTGTTGGAAAAGAGTGTTTGTGATGACCAGCTTGTTATCTTGACAAAACTCTATTAGCCTTTGCCCTGCTTCGTTTTGAACTCCAAGGCCAAACTTGCCTCTTGTTCCTTTTATTTCTTGACTCCTTACTTTAGCATTCCAGTCCCCTAGAATGACAAGAACATCTTTCTTTGGTGTCAGTTCTAGAAGGTGTTGAATGTCTTCATAGAATTGGTCAATTCCAGCCTCTTCAGCATCGGCGGTTGGTGCATAAACCTGGATTACCGTGATGTTGAAAGCTCTGCCTTAGATTTGTATTGAAATCATTCTGTCATTTTTGAGATTGTATCCCAGTACAGCTTTTCCCACTCTTTTGTTGACTATGAGGGTTACTCCATTTATTCCAAGAGGTTCTTGCCCACAATAGTACATATTATAATCACCTGAATTTAATTCGCCCATTCCCGTCTATTTTAGTTCACTGACACCCAGGATGTCAATGTTTATTCTTGTCATCTCCTGTTCGACCACATCCAGCTTCCCAAGGTTGATAGATCTTACATTCCAGGTTCCTATGCAGTATTTTTCTTTGTAGCATCGGACTTTCCTTTCATTTCCAGGCGTGTCTGCAGCTGAGCGTCCTTTCAGCTTTGGCCCAACCACTTCATTAGCTCTGGAGCTACTTGTCCTTGTCCTCCACTCTTCCTCAGTAGCATGTTGGACGCCTTCCGACCTGAGGGGCTCATCTTCTAGCATCATATCTTTTAGCGTTTTGTTTCTGTCCATGGAGTATTCTTGGCAAAGATACTGGCGTGGCTTGCCAGTTCCTGCTCCAGGTGGATCACGTTTAGTCAGAACTCTCCACTGTGACCTGTCCTTTTTGGGTGTCCCTGCACAGCATAGCCCGTAGCTTCTCTGAATTACTCAAGCCCCTTCGCCACGACAAGGCAGCAATCCGTGAAGGGGACCTTACTTATGTATAATAAAAGAGGTGGACACATAATGCAGGTGCAGTTCTTCTCAAATGATGTAGCAGAATAACTGCCCTCTAATGCAGTACAGAGCATCAGAAATACTTCGTGAAAAGGCACTCAGGGTCTGCCACATTAGTTGGAAACTAGAGCCTACCAGTAACTTTTTAAAGAGTTATTGGGGCTTTTATGTCCCACTGCTAATCTGTATGATAGCTGAGCATCAATTTGTTTCCTGGATTTTTTGGTCACAGTCCTTGCATCTTCTCCAAATAATGTGGTTCCCCCACCCCACCCCAGAAGAGATGTGATGCTTTTCTGAACATTTAAAATATAATATTTTAGTACTAGCAATGAGAGGTAAAAGACATCTTGTCATCGTTTATATTTTGTTCTTCGGCAGTTGGATAGTCCTTCCTGAACAGTTCCTCCAGCCATATTAAAAATATATATAGCTGCAATCCTGTGTATAAGTACCTCTGAATATGTTCCACTGAATGCAGCAAGCCTTACCTCTCAATAAATATGGAGAGGGTTGCAGTACAAAAGTGATAAAACTGCAGCAAGGCCTTTCCCTTCTGCTTCATGAATCTTCCTTTCAATCTTTTTAATTATGTTTTCTTAAAATGTATTCATTGTTTAATTAGGTGGAAGTTATGTGCTGCAGTCTTATTTGCCAGTCTTATGGACCCCTGAATGAAGGCCGAATTCTACCTGTGCTCAAAGGACCATAGAAGTACAACTGGCAGAATTCCCCAGGCTGCAGATATTCTAGGATTCAAAATAAAAATAAACCTGGTATTTTGGGAGAGCAATGATAATTCTCAGTTAATTTCTGAACTCAAAAAGTCAAAATGGTGGCATTGGCTTTGAAACTCTTGCTGTCAAGTCACCTCTGACGTATGACAATCTCAAGATGGAGAGATCTCCAAAATACTCTGAGCCCTGCTCAGCTTTTGCAAACTGAATATCCTAGCATCCTCCTCTGAGTGAAGGGCACCTGTAGAAGTACCTTGAAATAATTTGAAGCATTTTTGTGACATATTTTCCCCGATAGATTATTTCAGTGTTTGGGCAGGAGCCTAGCCTGGCAACAAGCTCACCAGTGATTGGAGGAGGAGATTGTGTTAATGTTTCTCCCTCTTCCCTCTTCTTTTCTTTCTTCTTATGGATGAAAAGGATAGATTTCTGGTCGTTGTAACAGAATGTGAGACAGATGAACTGAATGTTCTTCAGCTCTGTTTCATAACATGTAATAAACACACACTGTTCCTTTGGACTGTTCTCTTAGTTGGCATGGTTAACCATTTGCCATTTCACATTCTATAACAAGGCATCTCATACAGTGTTTCAGGGAATCCCACCTTTGAAAGCCAATTAGGGCTCTTCACTGAAAAGACTTCTTATGGCAGACACATCTGTCTGTGAAATAGATTGCATCCATTCTAGGGCCCTTTGGTTGTTACCCCAGCATCAACAGCGATATAAAGTGTTAATGTCGTTTCATACAGGGCATAGTACATTGTTCTCTGTTCCTCATTGCAATGGGGCAAGAACTGCAAGATTGCCAGGGTAAAACTGGGCAGGTACCACTGAACTAAGATTTGTAGCCTTACTGTTTGGTCTGAAGTATATTTACTCAGAGGTAAATCTAATTCTGGTTAATAGACTAAACAAAGCATGTGTGGATTTTAGTTTTCACTCATCCATTGGCAAAATTATAATAAGATTGTAGACCAATTTATTTCATGTTTGTTTACTCAGAAGTAAAATAAATTATTCAACAACTCTTACTCTCAAAGAGATTTTGGAACAGTTACTTCTAAAAAGTTATGTTACTTAACTGTTATTCCCCAAGTAATTTCATTACTCACCCCCCACCCATTATCACAAAAAGCAGCCAATTCTCAAGTACATTTGTAGATTGTAGCCTTTATAGTCCACATCAGTTCTCTCCCTACTTTGAGCCCTACTGGACCAGCTTTGATGCAACCCAAATCTCAATGTGTAATGTAACGGAGGCCTTTACTGGGAGTTGATAGAAACAGCTTTGATCCACACCTACTTCTCAGAAGACAATTTAGTTCATGTTCTGTACACCACCTGTGCTAAGCTTTACAATCATTCATGTGCATCTTGGTTGTTGTTTTTAAAATTATTTTAAAATAATTACACTATTGTCTGCACCAACAACACTTATTTTTCTGAGCAAGAGAAAAGTAGTATCTCTCACTCTGTTTTATCTCCAACAGATGAACCCAAATAGCCATATCATTTTATGTGGGCAGATCTCCCAGTACAATAAGGATGTACCTTATCCTCCTCCTTTGCCTCCTGCAATTGAAGAAATACAGAAAGCAAGAAACATCACTAGGTATTTCTCCTTAAGAAACTAGCCACCACCTAAATATAAATATTACGGTCTACAGCAGTGGTTCTTAACCTTTGTTACTCGGATGCTTTTGAACTGCAACTCCCACAAACCCCAGTCAGGACAGCTGGTGGTGAAGGCTTCTGGGAGTTGCAGTCCAAAACTCCTGAGTAACCCAAGGTTAAGAACCAGTGGTCTACAGGATGTATTTAGTGCTGTTTTTCCTCAGTGATAGAGATGGGCAAATATTGTTGGACTACAGCCTCCATCAGTCTTAGCTTAGTCAGCCTAGCCAATGATGAGGACTGCTGGGAGTTGCAGTCAAACATCTGAAGGGTTGTGTTTCACCCATTCTTGTTGTAAGGCAAGACTCACATGGATCTTGGGATTCAGCATCTCGATGGAACAAGGCTATCTAAGTACAGTATTCATTTCAAAACAAGGGTATACTGCAATTTTTCAGAGATAGATTATACACATAACTAAAAAGCAAGGAAGTTGCTTTGTAGAAAATGAGATGGGAAGAAAAATGTCCATACACTTTGTGGGAAATGCACCAAGTGTTTGCATTACAATGGCAGACACGCATGCATTTGTGAGTGGATGGGTGTAACACTCCCAGCACTTAAGGCATCACATTCTAACTTCAGGCAGAACCCAGGAAAACTTGCATTTGCTGCTTGGGGGATTCTGGTAGTTGTAGTCCAAAAAAGGTGATTTCCCCCACCTCCCCCATGCTTAGTCCTGGTACAGTATATGGAAGTGCAGATTGAAAAGTAATTAGATATTTGGTTGGCACTTCATTTGAAAGTGTGCAGAAGAATAAATGGCCCAGTGGTATTGAATACATGTAACTAATGATAGAGCAGGAAGCTAAAATGTGAAGTTGGAACAGAAGAAGACAATTCAAGTGAGGGGCAGGAAAGTGCATTCATCTCTTTCAACAGTAGGACAGACTATCCTCTTGAACGGTTAGTGAGGAGGAGAAGGGTGGGAGCCACAAGCAACGGTTGATATTTAGATGAATGCAAATTCTTGAGTTGCAAAAATGCACATTTAAGTTAAAGTCCTGCTTGGCTATTCCATCTAGTCATATGCTTATTCTTGTATGGGCCCTCCATGTACATGGTCCCTGCATGGCACAGTGGTTAAACTGTACTCCAGCCAAAATTCTACTGATGACCCAGGTTCAATCCCAGGTAGCCAGTCAAGGTTGACTTAGCCTTCCATGCCTCTGAGATTAACTGAGTAGCCAAGGTGGGGGAGGAATGTGTCACCTGCATAATTAAATTGTAAACCACCCAGAGAGTACTTTAAGCACTATGGGGTGGTATATAAGCAGCATGCTTTATATAGCTTCAGATGCATCAACAACCAATTTTTAAAATTAATCTTTGACCACTGGAATCAGCATGCCTTGATCCTTTATACTAAAGCTTTCACCTGCTTGTGCAATTCCTTCTGTCTGCATAAGGTTAACATACTGCACTCTTTCTTCAAGTCATTATGAAAGTAATGGTCTTGTACTTCCCGTTTCCTACATGCCCTTACTTGAGAATAAGGGACACACTCTGAACTTAATGGCACTTAATTCTGAGTAGGTAAAGGATGTTGCATTGAGTATGGTTAGTTAATCAGGTTGGTTAATCTGGCTGAGGGACCACTTTCCATCATTTCATAATTATAAAGATTTTCAGGATTCCCAGGATGACCCTCAGAGGTTTATTCACCATGTACTAATATAAATTGTCAAATTGTGGATATCATTAGATATTTTTAGTGGCTGTAATAATATATTTTAAAGTTATACTGTTTTTGACTTTTATATTTTATGGTGTTACTATTTTGATTTCATTTCTTAGACAATGCCTTGGTAGTGTGCAGGCTGATGCCTATTCAATCTTTTACAGAGAAAGATTTCTAGTTCTTAACTACACGGATAAATATGCAGCCAGCACTATGCAGCTTTGTCAGTGGATTAGAGAAGGAAAATTGAAGGTATGACACCATTCTGAAAGTATTTGCTTATTTGTTACAGAAAGTAGATGATGTTCATTTTATAAATATATCTTCTTTCATCCTGATAACAATGTAATATCATTTTATCCTGTCTGCAGTGAGCACAGAGCCCATTATTTAAAATCATCTGATTAGGCAACATAACTATTTCATCCAGTGAATGAATAAGTTTAAGATAAAATTTCATTTGATATTTCATTCCCCTGTGTATTGAAAATGTTGCTTTTAGGAAACAAAATAGAAGAAATTTAACATGCTACTCTTCTTTGTGATTCTTAAAAGGTTAAAGAGACAGTGGTGGAAGGCTTGGAAAATATTGGAGGTAAGGTAATTGTTTCTGACCTATATCCGTTTTCAATTATGACAAGAACACAGCTCAACAAACACAACACGTGGCTTTCATGTAGGAAAAGTAAGCAAAGTGCAGGTTTGCTGGGGGAAGCTGCTGTCTATAGAGTAGAATATCCATCTTCTACCTAACCTGATTTTCTTTACTATGAATTATTGGCCAGAATCCTATTGCCAATTTATACTTGTATAAGGGAAATTGTGTAAGTTTTAGGAACTCATCTTAAGATGCTAACCTGACCTGAACAATGGCTATGAAGCTTTCGGACTCCAATATAGAGTTTTCTGAAGTACGCACAAAACTTGGTATATAGCCTGAGGAAGATGAATTATATTTGAAAGCTTGCCATCTGCTTTTTGCTTGATTTTTTAGTGGCCAAATGAAGGTTTCACTTGCCCTTGCATTTATTGTTTGGGGACCATGCAGCCTTTTAATTTTCTTAGAAGCAAATCATTATTCAATAAGAAAGTGCTGATTGTGTTCCTAGGTGTGTGTCTGATCATTTTACTGTTACTTCTTTGGGGACATTGTACTTGGCTGCCTTTTGTATCCTTTACTCCTTTTTTTGTAAAACATAAAGGAAATAACCCTTTAATCTCATGAAAATAGTTAAGTTCTAACAGCTACATCACAGATATTTTATAAGCATTATACAATTTTAGTAGCAAAAATAAAATATTTGTCTATTAAGAAGTCTTTTGTTCGAGCAAAAGTGGCATAACATCCTACTTTTTCTTTTTCTCTTGTAGCCGCTTTCCAGTCTATGATGACCGGGGGAAATATTGGAAAACAGATAATTCTTGTTTCCAAGTAAAAGAAGCATTTGTATTGTTTCCCAGGTGTCACTTGCAGAGTATTTTTTTTTTGGCACAGGTCTGGCATGACTTCCTCCTTTGTAAGGGTACTTGCATCAAGCAATCAGAAGCTGAACTTTTTCATCTTGCATTTGAATATATAAAGCTTGTGGAAGATACTGTCTGACTTATTCTTTATAATGAAAACAAAAGATTTCTACACCAGCATCTTCATTAGGCTTTCTCTTCACCATTGTCATAAAGCAAGTCCAGCTTTGATTCCCAGTCCTCCTTAAGCCTCCTTTATGTATATGTTCCTACACCCTTGTCTTAATGCAGGAATTTACTTTGTTATCCTTATTTCTAACCAATATATGATACTGTTATACTGTCCTTAACACAGTATAACTGTCAACTGTTGTAGTATAGCTTAGTTTCATATTGAAAAAATATCACATTTTAATGATTATTTCCTTAATACTTAACATAACTAGGTTGCCTGGCCTTATTTTTGTGACATAGTGTACTTCCTGGTTTCTTCAGTTCGTTATACTCCTGTTCTCACTGGTGCAGTATTTAGACTACTGAGCAAGAAAGATAATATTTTTAGAAAGGAATAAGCTACTCTGTGAGCAAATTACATTATTAAAAACACCTTAAAAATTAACAAATTTTATTTGCTTTTACTTTTATGAACTTTAGTCCATTTCCTTATCTGAAGAAGTGGGTTAAAGTCCATGAAGTCCTATAACAAAATTAATTTGTAAGGTGCCACAGGACCAAATTTTTTTTGCTGCAACAGATTAATGGCCAACCCATGGTTCTACACTACTACAATTCATGTAGTTCCCAGTTTCAAAATACAGACATTTAAAAGTTTGTACAGAAGTTTAAAAAGAAAAGAATACTTGCAATTTTAGTTTTGTTTAATTCACCTTAGATTCTATGGTTTGTTTGAAATTACAGGACATGCATCAATGTACATATTGTATATTGTAAAAGGATACACAGATACAATCATGTGAAAAAGGTACACCACCTTTGAATTCAATAATTTTACATATCAGGACATAATGAAAATCATCTGGTCCTTAGCAGGTCTCATAATTAGGCAAATACCTCAGATGAACAATAAAACATAACATATTACACTGTGTCATGATTTATTTAACAAAAATAAATCCAAAATGGAGAAGCCATGTGTGAAAAACTAAGTACTGTACACCCTTACTGCTTTCATAAGAATTAAGAGGCTAGGTAGCAGCCAGGTGGTGCTAACAAAATGCCCTTGAATACAGTGGTGCCCCGCTTAACGATTACCCTGCTTGATGATGAATCTGCTTCATGACAATGTTTTTGCGATCACAATTACGATCGCAAAACTATGTTTTAATGGGCTTTTTTCACTTCCCGACAATCAGTTCCCTGCTTCGGGAACCGATTCTTCACATTACGACGATCAAAACAGCTGATCGTCGAGTTTTCAAAATGGCCACCAGCTGCTCGAAATGGCCCCCCACTGTTTTTAGGAGTCATTTTTCGCTGCACAGGCACCCGAAAATGGCCGCCCTATGGAGGATCTTCGCTGGACGAGCAGGTATTTCGCCCATTGGAACACACTGAATGGTTTTTAATGCATTTCAATGGTCTTTTTTATTTTGCTTGACGAGGATTTCCCTGGAACGGATTATCCTCGTCAAGCGAGGCACCACTGTAACTTATCATCAGCAAGTGTGACCACCTCTATAAAAAGTGTGCAGCAATTTGCCAGTCTGTTCACACAATGCTAAGGAAGAAACACATCAGCAATGATAATAGAAAAGCAATTGTTGCTGCCCGTTAATCTGGGAATTAATATAAGGCCATTTCCAAACAATTTAAAGTCCATCATTTTACAGTGAGGAAGATTATTTAGAAGTGGAAAACATTCAAGACAGTTGCCAATCTTCCCAGGAATGGACATCCAAGCAAATTCACCCCAAGGGCAGACCATGCAAAGCTCAGAGAAATCACACACACACACTCAAAACAGTTACATTTCAGACTCTCGAGGCCTCAGCATGTTAAATTTTAACATTCATGACAGTACAATTAGAAAAATTAGCATGCTAAATTTTAACATTTGTGACAGTACAATTAGAAAAAGACCCAACAAGGATGATTGGGTTGAAGGGGTTGCCAGGATAAAGTCTCTTCTCTCTAAAAAGAGCATGGCAACACAGCTTAGATTTGCAAAGTTGCATCTGGACAAACCACAAGACTTCTGTAACAATGTCCTTTAGACAGATGAGACCAATGCACAGCACAATGTTTGGCAAAAACCAGACACAGAATATCAGCCCAAACACTTCATACCAACTGTCAAGCACAGTGGTAGAAAGGTGACAATTTCGGGTTGTTTGCAGCCACAGGACCTGGGCACTTTGAAGTCATTAAGTTGACAATGTATTCCTCTGTATACCATTCTAGGGTCAAATGTGAGGCCATCTGTTCAACAGCTACAGCTTGGCTGAAATTGGGTCATGCAACAGCACAATGATCCCAAGCACACCAGCAAATCTGACACAGAATAGTTGAAAAAGAAAAGAATCAAGGTGTTGCAATGGCCTAGTCAAGACCTCAACCCGATTGAAATGCTGTGGCAGGATCTTACAAGAGCTATGCATAAACATATGCTCACAAACCTCATTGCGCTGAAGCAATGTTGTAAAGAAGAGTGAGCCAAAATTCCTCCACAATGAAAAGATTGATAGCCTTACAGAAAACTGTTACTTCAAGTTATTGCTGCTAAAGGTGGTTCTATGTGCTATTGAATCAAAAGGTGTACTTAGTTTTTTACACATGGCTTCTCCAGTTTGACTTTATTTTTGTTAAAGAAATCATGATACCGTGTAATACGTCACATGCTGTTCTTCATCTGAGGTTGTATTTTGTTAATTTTCAGATCTGCTAAGGACCAAATGATTTCTATTATATCCTGATATGTAAAACCATTGAATTCTAAGGTGGTGTATTTTCTTTTTTACATGACTGTATACCAAGCTTCATGAGCAACTGCTGGTTTCCTCATGAACTGTAGAAACAAGTAGCCAGGATTCTACTCACCTGAAATAATATTCATGGAGTGATGGTCTTGCTTGATCTGTCATCTGAAGAAAGATGGGTTGTAAATGGAGGGTCAAATATTTTCAGCAGTGGCATGTACTTTACACAACTATATTCCATCTTGAGAGGCTTGATAAGCACTTATTTTACCATCTTTTCAGCACCACAAGTGAAGATCTTTGTTTCCCTAGGCATTTTGATTTTGTCGCTGGAGGTTCTATTATCTCTTTCATTTTATTAGGAACAGCCCTGGAAATCAATTAGTTGAATGGACGGCTACACATTCATTTAAAAAGTAAAAGCTAAGTAGTAATCAGTTTAGAAAACCAGGGTAGGATAGTGAAATATGTGTGGCTTTAGGAGGGAGGGAATGCATCTTAAGTTACCACTGTCCAAGTAATATGTGTTTCCTAATTTAGGTGTGGCACACCACATGTAAACACTGAAAAGGAGAAACAGTTACATCCATTACAATATTGCACTTGTTTAGCATTAAGATGACAGTGACTCTAAACAAATTTCCATTCATGAATGTAACAAGGAAGCAGCGTCTGAGGCAAGCACCCTTGGTCCTTTTATAGTTTTGTCTTGCTAAATGCCTTGCTAGTCAACACTACAGAAGTCATTCCAGGACAGCTCTGTGCTTCCTCTTTCAGTAGTTCAGGCCACAGAGGTATTATAGGCATATCATCCTGTAGTTCACAGTTTTACCATCTTTAAATGAAAAGGTACTTCAGTTGTCCGAAGACTAAGAACTTTCGTAGTTTTTCATTTCCAAAATAAAGGTTCTCAGTGTAGAAGACTGGAGTTTCCAGGTTTTGTACATCAGAAAAAGGGTTAGGGCCACAATCCAGGTTCTCAGTGGAGAGAGGAAAAAAGCTAGAGTTCCATATGTCTTTAGCAGGAAGTAGCAGGAAAAGACCTGCCAAAAAAATAGGAGTGCAATGAACCCGTGGATTGGAACAGCCCAACGCCATCCAACATGACGTAGATGGGACCCAAAGGAATGGCCTTGGCAACGCAGAAACAGGCACCAACATATATACGCCATCACTGGTAGGTTAAAAAACACCACCTGCCAAAAAATCAAAACAGCTGCATTAGATTTCTGCTTCCTTGAATATGAGTTAGAATGTGCAAAGTTGTAGACATATATGAAATTGTTCTGGGCATGACCATGTGAATCCATAAACAGAGATCTGTTCTAGCAGATCTAGGTTCCATAGAAAAGTCTAATTTATTCATTCATGCATTCAAAATATTTTTACACTGTCCTTTTCCTTAAAAAATAAAATAAAATAAAGACCCAAGGAAGCTTACCTCATTAAAAACACAATATTAAAAGCTAAAAACAGTACATTATTCAAATATTTTAAAAAATAATAATAACATTACATTCAAAATGTTAGGTAAAAGCATTGCTGAAAAGAGATTTAGAAGCATTTAAAAGCAACCATCTCATTTATTGGCTCCTAGACAGACAGCCCTGAGTGACTTGCAGAAAAACTGGAAGGGCAAGAAAATCTAGTAGCTACAAGAAAATTCTCCTGTCTACTATAAAATTTTGAATGTTTAGTTCTCATGAATAACATTACATTCAAAATGTTAGGTAAAAGCATTGCTGAAAAGAGATTTAGAAGCATTTAAAAGCAACCATCTCATTTATTGGCTCCTAGACAGACAGCCCTGAGTGACTTGCAGAAAAACTGGAAGGGCAAGAAAATCTAGTAGCTACAAGAAAATTCTCCTGTCTACTATAAAATTTTGAATGTTTAGTTCTCCATAGACCATGATTTCAAAGTGCTGCCAAATGTATTTTATTCTGGGCACCGTTTATCTTGTTGATTAGACTCAGAATGTTGCAGGCGGGGCAGCAGAGTGGCTTGCAACTGAATTTGATAATTTAGGGCCCATCCACACTGAGCTAACATTTTTGCATCCTTGATACCAGTACTGTATCCTAGTGTCCACAAGATGTACTCTTGAAACTAGTCTCAACAGAGTCAAAGGAGGACAAGAAACCTTGCATTCTGGGGTTTCTTTACATCACCCTGATTAGTGGTATATTTTTGTTCTGTTTTGCTCCAGTACAGAATCTGCTGCTTTGGATCCCAGAACTGTGTTGATGCTTACTGATCCATGCACTTTGTGGGTGGGTATCTTTTGATGACATTTCCTTAATGGGGTTGTTTCTGCTGGTTGTTCTCCACCCCTCCATGCTTTATTTAAAACTTCTGTTCAGAAATATGGACAAGGGCAAAGTGCAACAGCCACAATATGTTTAATAGAACATTTTGTAAGCTGCCCTGGGGGCTCATCTATCCAAAAGGCATGGCATGAATCTTTCAAATAAATAAACACTGTCCTTTTATTACAGGACTATATAATGGAATTAGGCATTACATGGAAAATTGGACTTGTTCTGAAGGAAATATACGAACTCCAACAGTCTACAGGGTGTATTGTTTAACACATCACATTGATATAGCATCAACATATTTGATTACCACCATTGATACATTTTCTATCGTTTTTAATGTTTTAAATGACCTTTTAAATGACTTTTAAAATGGCCACACTATACATTATTTGTCAAATATTTCACCAATAACTTTACCTGCATAATTCCAACTAGGAAGGTCATGCTGCCTTCAAAGAAATGACCATCAACAACTATCCCAAAGGAAAAGCAGAGGCCTATATAACCATCCACAATCTCACCAATAAACCAGGGCCCTGTAGGGAAGAAACATTATGATACTGAACTTGATTACAAACAGGTTGGCCTCTACTAGCCCTGAATGTGGTCAAACAAAAAAGAAAAATAATTCACTTTCCCAAGTATCACTTTCAAACATCAAGTAATAGCCAGTGTAACAAAAAAGTGGACAGGTAAGATACTCCTATAATAATCCCATCTGAGAAGCAGTAATCAAACACCAGCTGAAATCCTGTTGCTCTGCCTCAAGTTAAGAAATTTTTGTAGAAATTATCTGTTGCATACTGATAGACAGATAATCTCTATGGAGATTTCTCAATTTAAGGCAATGCATCTCCTAATGTTACACGTTTCACATAACAGCGCAACAGGATTTCAACCACTGTGTAAGAATCTATACACCAGATCCTGCAGCAGAAAACCCGAATCTTAATATTACGGTATTATGTAATTATTCTTTTGCTCGTATTCCTGCACTGCATGAGGAAAAGGGGGAGTAAGTATTCTGAATAGATTAAACGAAGGCTGGAATCATACAGGTATTCATGTATGGCCTGAGTAACTTACTACATCTAATTGCAGCTAACTGACAAGATGATGGGGTGTATCTCACTTACACAATCAGTCACAGAATAGGCACAAGGTTAGCAAGCCAAAGCAAATTATGTAACACTTACATGAACACAAAATAGGGTTCTTGCTTAAGATATTTTCAAACAGATATTTTCTTAGTACTACTGTGATCCAAGGCCTAGAACAAGCCTAAATTTTGTTATGGACTCACAAGACAAGTCACTCACAGCTTCAGTATCTTCCTTCTGTTGAGAAGGAACTACTAGCACTTCACTAATTAGTAGTATAATATATGTGAATATAATATATGCGCAACCATTTCGGGGCTTCCGGCAGCATAAACAGTGACAAGAGAACACAGTAATACAGATTAAGAAGTGCACAATATTTAGTTTACAAGTGAACATGAATGCAGCCATCAGCCAGATCTCTGTTCTGTGCAATGCTGGGACTTTCATAAGAGTACAAAGCCTGGCTTATGCCTTTCAACAGCATCACATAGATATGCTGTGTAACATTTATTAGAAAAATCTATATCTTACTAAAATGTACATAACCTTCAGTGCCTGCAAAGTGAAGCCCTCAGTTGATCATTATAATTCATTTCTAAATTATAAACAGACACACTTTGGTACTGTATATGTGCTTTTGGCTCACCTTCACTTTCGCAAATTTATGATTGATATTTTAAAAGGTTTTAGTCTTATACAAAATTTTCTAATTAAACACAAAGACTTTAGAGATTTTTGAATGCTACTTTCTTCTTACCTAGAAGAGTGTACAAACTCAGCACCAAGAAAAAGTAATAGAATAAGTCTGTTTTACTCAAGACGTGGAGGGAAAAAGAGATCCGCGTTGATGTGCCCAGAGGTTCTAAAACATAAAAATCATTTCAGAGTTGCTTACAACTGTTTAAAACATGCATCAAGCACCTTTTCACAAAGGGATAAATGCCATAGGACCATTTACAATGAAAAGCAAATCCATTTACAGTGGACCCTTGACTTACAGACGGCTTGACTTACAGACTTTTTGACTTGAGAACCGCCTTCCAATACGGATTAAGTTCTCAAGTCAAGACCCCACTGTACTGAAGTGAACAAGAGTTAGTGCAAGGAATGTCTTAGTAAAAGAAGGCCAAATTCTAAAGCTATAAAGCCAAATGTCTCACATCTTCTTCACATCTTCACGTATTTGACAATAATATTTGCAATGCAAAATATGCATCAGTGACACATAAACAGATGCTCTATTTTAAATAGTTAAATCCTACTTTCTCCAACACCACTTTCACAGGCTGTATACTTGCCTTGTTAAGCAATGTGCTAGCTGCTGGTGTTAAAAAATTGTGATGGTACCATTACTGGCAGAAAAAAACATAATGTTAGGATAAGGTGCTGCCCAAGTCTGCTTCACTTCCACCACTAGTGGCTCCTCTAGTAATTCTAAAAATATCCTGATCACCATTTTACCAGCAGTAATTGGAAGACCCTGCTCACCTCCCTCTCCAGCAGCTTAGGAGCAACTGACATCTATAGTGCTTCTACACTGTTAGGAGACATGCAAAAGCAAGGATATCCTTGAAGTCACTGGAAGGGCACTGAAGTTTTCTTTCCCCATATTGATCCCCACAGCAGCAGTGTTCACTGGGATTGTATATGTGAGGAGGCTTTAGCCTCCCTCTTCCTCTGCAACTGCAAAGCAACCATTTCCTACCCCACTGATCAACCTTAGCCGACAGCTTAACATTTAAGGGATACACATTGATGTACCAATTTGAAAACCTGCTTCATTTGAAGGATTCATGTAAGGAACAAGAAAACAAAGTTGGAGGAGGGAAAAGCAAAGCTATTTTTCAGAAAAAAGTACTCTTACTATTGAACTTAGGTTTTCTTCGGTATCGAAAAAGAATCAGCAAGGCAGTTTGAAATATAATTAGCACTACAAATACTGCTCGAACCTAAAAAAGAAAAGAAAATGCAAGCAATTAATTAAAATCTGTTATAGTTACTATTCCAAATAGCAAATCAATATAATGTCAGACCAAACCACTTCCAGCATCTTCTTTTGATTCCTGAAGATTAAAATAATCGTGTGCTGTCAAGTTAATTCTGACTCATGGTGACCTTTTCCAGGACTTTCTAGCTATATAGTACTCTGAAGTGGCTCACCATTCCCTTCTTCTGAGGGCACCCTGGGAGAGTGCAGCTTGCCCCAGGCCACACAAGCTGGCTCTTTTTCCAGGAGGCACAGTGGGGAATTTAACACCCAACCTCAGGCTCCACACCCAGATATCTGCTGGGGAGAGCAACTCCAGTGGCTATATTTTTGCTGCACATCAAACAGGCAAGCTGCTGCTCTGACCCTCTCTCTCTCAAATCTTGGAAGATTCTGTATTGGAAAGCAAGCCCCAGATTGTAATATGAACTCCTATTTATCATTCTAGAAATCATTTTGGACATTTTCATGTACTTTATTTATATCAGAAAAATAGTAAAAGCCAAATAAAGTGAAAGTATAATTCCCTTTCTGAAGTGGTGCAACAAATGTTTGGATATCCAATATAAGTTACAGTTTGACAGGTGAACTTTAGGACACAAAGCTGAATCTTCAAAAAATGTGTAAAAACACTTAATCCTTAGAAGGAAGTCTATAGACTCCTTTTCTAGGAGTACTCTTTTTCCAGTAGTACTTACCCATATATAGTGGTCGGTAAGCAACAGCCAAGATGCAAAAAGGTCGAATTTGAGTGAGAGGTTTTCTTCCATAGCAAACGTATGACGCTGAGTAGTACTTTTTCCACTAGTGTCCTAAAGAAGGGAACACACAAAGACTATGATAGCAAATGTGTCTATCAAGGAAGTAGCCATGATAGTCTGTGAAAGCATTACAGGTAAAAATAAAAGAAATATTAAAATATAAGGCAAAAATATGCTGGTGCCCTAAAGTGTAGCTGTTGTATTTTAATGTGAGCTTTCATGAACAAGTCCACTTACTCAAAAATAATGAGATCAAAACATAGCATGGCAAATATTTATACGTGGCATCAAAATAAAGAGATTATGGTTGGTAGCTTGAAAAGAGTGGGGTGATAGCTTCTTGATATGCAGGCGTATCCCATTGAAGCTTCTGCTGTAAAGGATGCAAGAACCTGTGTCATGAATAACAATGGTAGAATATCATGTTAATAATACTGAGGAGGCTGGGCGTTTACAGTTGCTAATGACCTTTTCTTTACAAGAGGTGGTCTGGGGTAATTCACAACTCACAATGATGCTTGAATTACCCCAGGCAATGAATGACCACAAGAGCAACAGGGCAATGAGTTAAGACTCTCTGGTTTACCTGCAAGAGCAACAGAGCAATGAGTTAAGACTCTCTGGTTTACCTTTGAAGTTTTTTAGGTGAATCTGTTGAGGAGGAAAAAATATATCTGGGAGATACAATACAGTACAATTATTGTAATGTTTGTATTTTATGGTGCCTTAAAAAGCTTTGGCTTATATTGAGTTCATTGAGATGAGTGTCTAACATGTGTATATATTTTATCCCAACTGCCTCTCTCTGGATTCTTGTCCTATCATTTTTCAACTACCTCTCTCTGGATTCTTGTCCTATCATTTTTTCACCAGAATGATAATTTTTTGATTGTGTGTAGAATGTTCTGGCAAATTAAAATGATGTGAAACAGGGTTCTGTGGATTCCCATTCCAGGTATCTGATTTGTGTCCATAATGCTTTTGTGTAGAGACTGTCCCACGTAGAGTGCAGATGAGCATTGTTGGCAAAAGACAGCATTAATAATTTCAGTATAGAAACAGGTATAGGAAAGTAACTATAATCATGATTCATAAAATACATACTACCATGATGGCTAAAATATGTTCAGAGGGCAGCTTTGCATGTTGCAAGAAACTTGGGATCCTAGTCAGTGGGGCCCTGGCCACCTCATGGGGAGTGCATGCTATGCCCTCATTGCAACACTGTCCCCACTGATTTCAGGCGCTCATGTGGGAGAAGGTACCGGAGGACAAGTGAAGCAGGTCAAGTATTAGCCCTAAGCACCAGTAGACAAATGCTGACTCCCCAGCATTTTAAAGGCTTCATTTATTTTAATATTTTTTAAATGGTATGATTGCAAGAGGAGCACTATCTGGCTGAAGCTACCACCATTTCATTTCACCCAGAAGGCCCCTCAGCTCTTCCCCACTCCATGGCACTACACTGGGGTTAAGATGCCATCTGGGTAACATTCGGTAGTATCTGCTTTAGCCAGACAGTGTAGTGCTGGGTTTCATAGTACCACGAAGTGGTTAAAATAATTCTGGTTTCTCTCAGTGGCAACCCCCACTGTCCTTGGCAGTGATAACTATTGCCACAGGTTTTCATCACTCATTCCCTCAGTGCCAAGTAGCATACGTACTGTCCGTCCCCTCTGCTGCTCTCAGCAGCTGTGCCACTGCTTGACAAAGTCATGAGAGGTCATAGCAGTGGTACGTTGCCCAGAGTTATACAGTCCTTGCTCTTCCCCTGACTCAAAGAGACTGTTGAGGTGAGAGCTAAACATAGCTCCTGCTTTTGGTGATTCCAGTCATTAGACTTAAGCCTGCTCCTATCTATGAAGCCCTATGCCAAGATGTTAAAAAGGGACCAAAATACTGGAAAAGAAGCTCTGTGTGCACATGCATGTGTATGCATGTGTGCATGTCATCACACACACATCAAATAACTTCACATTTTCTCCCTCATCCTCTTTCAGAGCAAATCCATGTGGTATCCTTCCTGCTCCTCTTTCAGACAGGATGAGAAAAACCAATCTGTCCAAACTCACTTACTATGTAATCAGGGATGATTAAGTATTGGCCAGCTCTAAATAGCTTCTAAATACATTTTTGAGTTCTAGACATCTCACCTGAACTATCACTTCTATCTGATGAAACCCTCTGCTGTAGTTTTGGGGAGACCATTTCAGTGCATAGAGTGGTCCAGACACGTGAACAGCATCTCCTAGATGAACACCATCAATAGTGACCTTCACAGACGTGATAGGAGAAGGAGAGAAAGCCAAAATTCTAGGTAAAATAAATAAATAAATATTGTAAGCTTGTTAAGATGAGATCTCTATTATTCTTAATGTCATACTATTTTAACTCATGTAAGACTGTACAAATTTGCAACTATGTCTTAATACGATTTAAAGGTCTGTTTCACTATTTAAAACTAATTGCATTCATATTTCTATGTTTAAATTTTGAATGTAAGAATTTAATGGCTGGAATCCTGTTGCATAAGTCCCAAGTTGCCCAAATGATAGTGAAATTCATGCCAAGGTGGACGTCATAGCCAACAAGCCATTCTGTAGGCACAGTTGCATCACTAGTTGCAAGGTGCATTCAGATGTGCAATCAGGCATGCAGGGTGGATTACCTAGGTGTAACTCCCCAAGAACATCTGCAGGTGCAACTTTGTTTTTATTTATTTATTGCACTTCTGTGTTGCCTTTCTCCCAGCAACGGCACTCAAGGCAGCCCACAGATCATCAAAAGAAACAGGGATGGAAACAACATAAAAGCAGAATTCAAAATGACTGAACCTGGAAATATGAAAATCCTCATGTAAAACAGATGTAAAATTATACAGTAAAAGCATTAAAAGAACACATTAAAAAGGATATACTGGCAGCAAGCATAGGGCAACAAGCTCTGTTAAAATTAAATATTAAATATTAAAAGCCTGCTGGAACAAATATGTTTTCAAATGTTGCCAAAAAGAAAGGGAAGAGGGGCCTAAGTCTAGCCTAACAGGGGCAGCCAACTTTACACTATGACAAATGCAATAGGATTTCAACCGTTGTGTTTTTAGTTGGCTTTTTAAAAATAATTTTGAACCACCTAAGGTCCTTTCACCATTAAAAAAGTAGCACAAAAAATTAAATAAATAGATGAATAGATAAAGACACAGATACTGTAGTTTCTATGGACGGAAAATATAAAAAAGGTAGCATACAAATTAAATAAATAGATGTATAGATAAAGACACAGATAAATAAATGAGAGGGCAAAAGACTTCGTGAAAAATACGGTTAACTTTGAACTTGATGTTTCTCTATAAAGTTAGCTTAGAATTAAAAAGATTAGCCTAATAAATATTTAACAAATTTACGAATAGATTGGTTAAAGAACAAATTTAAGTTCTTAAGTAGAGACCCCACTGTAAATAAATGAGAGGGCCAAAGATTTCGTGGAAAATACGGTTAACTTTGAACTTGATGTTTCTCTATAAAGTTAGCTTAGAATTAAAAAGATTAGCCTAATAAATATTTAACAAATTTACGAATAGATTGGTTAAAGAACAAATATATTTTTCTTGTCTATCACAGTAAATTACTTTTATAATACATTGAAAAGCACCGTGTGAAGGTCGGCATATAAGCAAGCATTCTGTCATATCTGCACAACAGAATATCTTAAATAAATTTTAAAAGGCTTGAAATACCAACCTAATATGTGTAGAATTAAGAATTCTTTGTAGTGGTTCATGAGCAGAGCTACTATAAAGAAATGGTTTGGGATTGGTGATAAGAACTACAGGCCATTCATTGAATGTCACATCAGTGAAGCTGAAGAGATCATGATCAAAAGCAAGAAGCCGGTACCTGATATTAAACAATTAAAACAATATATTTTCAATTAACAACACTCCAAATGATAGAAATCTAACTTACATTATCTAATCTAATGTTACCTAATCTACATTATCCACACAGTTGTATTTTTCAATTTCCTAGTCATATTTAAGTCTTACGTCTTTAACTGACTCATGCCAGTATTTCTAGAGAGTAAAATTAGATCTGTTTCCTTTGTATATTTGCCTTTTTCATAATTGCCACATGTTTTCATTAAGCTATTTACTGTGATCTTAAAAGCTCCTTTGCCTGTCTACAACATGCGCTAGTGTCTAAGGAGGCATGACGCAAACCACAAAAAGCCTACCAGGCAAAAACAAAAGAAAAATAAATAATGAAGAAAAAAGCACAGTAGTACCTTAAAGACTAACTGCTATATTTTAATGTGAGCTTTGTGGTCAAGTCCACTTCCTCAGAAACTGGGAGTAGATAGATATTTTAGGTATATGAGACCAATATTCATCATTACAATAACTGGTGTTGACTTGGTTGACACACACAAACCTAAAATCCTGTATCCTTCTCTTTCAGAAGTATCTCCATGGAACCAGTCTCATAGAGAGCCATAAGTCTAAGACTCTGTATGCACACTGTTCATTTGACACCGTCAGATAACCAATCTTCACTGTACAAACTGATGCTCATGTTGACTTCACATAGTTCTAAAAATGCTCCTGTAAATAGCCAAAGCTCACAATTAGCATTAGCACAATTTCGCACTGATGATTTACTTACTTCCTATTATCCTTCCAGTCTGCCAGCTCTAGCTCTAAAGTGCCATGATGGTGACGAGTATGTAGGACTGGCATCAGACCACCCAGCGTATGGAAGTGCCCACATAAATAAGCTGTTGCGGAGCTAAAGAAAATATCGCCATTATTAATTTTGACGAAATAAATAATGAGTGATGGTCAGTTAATAAAACTGATTAAAAAGCAAAAACATATGTCTTGGTACTTTAAAAACAGCAAGACTATATCAACTAATATCACCCCAAAGGGGGAGGCGGGGGGAGATATTACCGCATTGCCATTCGTATTCCTGGTGATGTAGAGATGATTGCTGAAGTGGGATAATGACCAAACCAGATGGTATGGTTACTCTCACGACTTTCCATAGCCAATGAAGACAACTCTTGCATTTTCCTCTGAAATTAAAAAAACAATGGCAGAAGCTTTAATAGCATGTTAGCTACCAAGATTTAACCCTTACACATTATTATTTGACAGGACCAAATTTGCTTTAGGGATTTAACAGACCTCCTTTAAAATCCTTTCTGGAAATAAAGTGAAAGATTAGTTTCAATATTACCCCAGTCTAACATTAAAATATTTTGGAAGTTATTACTATGGCACTCCAAAAATGAATGCTATCAAGAACATCAGAAGCCACCATCTTAACCTAAATTCCTTGCTGAGACGTCTGGGAGCCCTTGGGGAATGAGACAGAAGAGACCACAAGACAGATTTTAAAAAAAATGTTCAGATAAAGGACAGGCTCAGGGTAAAAAGTAGAAGGAGTTGAACAAACTCTAATAGCTTAATGGTCCTTTTCAAAGGCACAAGTATTATCTGTTGCATATCTGCACCTTAAGCATGTTGTCTCCTGTAAACCTAATCTCACAGAAGCTCTCTCTGTGTGTATCACAGTGCATGGATGCGAGGGGTCACCTGCCCCACAAGGCTAGGGGAGAGCTCTTAGCCAGTGCGGATGCACCACAGATGGAGGAAGCAGCTGAACTAACACTTTGAGTGAAAGGACTTTTTCTGCTGATTACCTTGTTTAATATTCCAAAAAAATTGTAGGGCCTTTTGAGGCCTGGGCTGAGAGTTGCATCCACACAGATAAAGGAATACCTGCCAAAAGGTGTGGTATGGATATAATGAAAGGAGCCATCCTTCTGCCAAGCAGAATATTTCCTGCCAAAAAAGACAAGAATTTGTAATCAGGAGAGTTTGGAATAAGAAGTGTGAAAAGCAGTTAAATAGATACCTTTGCTATTAACATTCCTATAAGCCTAAAAGAAGGGAAAATGAAATTACATTTGTCTTCACCTCAACACTACCTGGTCTAACACAAGAAGGTAATTAGCTGATACTCCCTCTCAAATTCGAAAAGCTAAGACAAGACGTAGAGTTGCAAATAAATCACAGCAGCAACAACAGAAAGAAGAGAAAAGCAATACCAGCAAGTGAAAGATATGAAGATGTATAACTACATTCTAAATGCTTATTTCATATATTACTTCCAATTAGCTGATACTCCCTCTCAAATTCAAAAAGCTAAGACAAGAAGTAGAGCTGCAAATCAATCACAGCAGCAACCACAGCAAGAAGAGAAAAGCAATACTGTACCAACAAGTGAAAGATATGAAGATGAATAACTATATTCTAAACCTTCAGAACACGGCCAAAGAGCCCGAAAAACCCAGAACAACTATATATTCTAAATGCTTATTTCATATATTACTTCAATAAAATCACTTTTTCCTAATAGAAATAGGTGAATATTTCTGTCCACCGCTCAACTGAATCTTCTGGATCTCTGAATTCAGGATGGTGTATATATACTTACCTGTAGTAATTCTGGACACTCTGCAGGTTTGGGATGTTGAATGTATCTGCAATGAAAATGACAAACAACATTTCAAATTCAAGACCAAGCTAAAAATGGAGAGCAAGGTAGTTAAGTTAAAACAGATGCAGTGAAATGTGAACATGAAGAAGAAGCAAGGCCAACACTTCTTTCAGTTTGATCTAGCCAGAAAGATTTACTCTATAAAGCAAATGCTCAGACATGACTTTAGAAAAATAGTAATTATTAAGATGATAATTGTTCTGCTGCTTCTGCTACTACTAATGATAGGTGATACTGATACGAATATTACCAATATTACAATATCATTGTTAGTAGCAATTGTCACCATCACCACAACCATCCAAGGATGGCTTTCCACTGGCTTTGCCAGTGAGATGCTTCTATTAGGATGTTTCTGTGGAATTTGATCTAGGCAGAAAGATTTACTCTATAAAGCAAATGGTCAGACATGACTTTAGAAAAATAGTAATAATTAAGATGATAATTGTTCTGTTGCTTCTGCTACTACTAATGATAGTAGGTGATACTGATACGAATACTACCAATATTACAATATCATTGTTAGTAGCAACTGTCACCATCACCACAACCATCCAAGGATGGCTTTCCACTGGCTTTGCTCTTCCCTGCCTGGGACGTGACTGAAGCAGCTCTTATAGGTAAAAATGAATTGCTTCAGGGAGGACCAAGGGCTGAGCTTTCTGCCTACCCTACTCATCCCTCTGCCTTTAAGGGCTGCTGAAGGGATGAGGGCTAGTCTATTTCATTCTCTGTGAGTTTGCTTGGTGGTAACACACTATTTTCAGACTATTAGGGTTGTGAAGTACATGTTTGTTGATGTGGTGTCAGAATGATGTCATTGTTCATTGTGGAAGACAGGGATACACATATTTATATTCTGCTCTCCCCTCTGGTCTTTCTTTCTTTCTTTCTTTCTTTCTTTCTTTCTTTCGATTTATATCCCACCCATCTGGTATATTCTACCACTCTGAGCTCTGTACAAAGACCCATTATTTTTGCACCATGTTTACCATGAGGCAACTCTTCTGTATTACACCAGTCTAGCTCAGAGTGAGACCCTGTCATTTATGATTTTATTATAGATAAGGGAGTCAGCCTGCTGTGTAGGTCCAAAGACTGGATGGATAAGCAAGGCAAGGTTAATCTGACTGATCTCTTCCTGCTCTGCACAAAAACCAACTAGTTTTTGCACCATGTTTACCATGAGGCAACTCTTCTGTATTACACCAGTCTAGCTCAGAGTGAGACCTTGTCATTCATGATTTTATTATAGATAAGGGAGTCAGCCTGCTGTGTAGGTCCAAAGACTGGATGGATAAGCAAGGCAAGGTTAATCTGACTGATCTCTGACCACTTGAGTACTGTACTTGATGCTGCACTTGCTCAGGCTGGAGGATTAACCCCACCTAGTTCGTTCATCCAGCCCTTGGTAATACACACCAAGTTGACTCCCTTATCTATAATTAAATAATGAATGGACAATATCTCTCTTCTCTACACCATCTTGGGAGTCAATCTTGAATGAAAAGTAGGTGAAAATGCTAACAAAATAAATTAAACCCAACATTTCATTCACTTTTCATTTAAGATTAGTTTCCAACATCAACTATAGTTGAAATAAATATACTTGATCAGTCTAGATATGCTGTAATGGGGCTATGAGCAGTGTATATGGGTGTTTACCATCCTCTAGTAATAGCAAACAAATGGAAATCACAACTTTTAAGTTTTATTTCCCTCTTACCATGATTCCCTTTAATGTCTATCCATTTAGTTTTCTCCATGACCTTAGACCTTTTTAGGACTGTTTGGTAAGTTTGCCATTCTGCCTCAAACTGATCAGAACCAAGTTTATCCTTTGTCTTGGAATCAGTCAGGTCACCTTGCAATAAGAAAAGAGCCATAAAAGACATTTTACATAAAATATGTAAAAATGCACAGTAAAGGAATGCAACCTAATAAAACACTAGATTATAAACCATTTGAGTAAAGATCCTAATAGCTGCTCCACTAGACTTGTTACAACAAATATATATATTTGTCAATTTATATATATGTAAAGTTACTATCTGGCTTCCATTTTTTTCTTTCACTTTAATGCATTATGAAAACAGATCACAGGACTGGAATTTACAGATGTACAGGGAGGATTTATAGGGGATATGCAGCTTATTAATTATGTGCTATCAAGTTGTTCATGATTTGTGGCTACCATCCTAGGGCTTCCTAGATATACAATACTCTAAAGAAGTTGGCTGGTACCTCCCTCCTGTGGCATTCTGGGACTGCAGCTTACCCAAGACTGGCAGGACATATCTATAATTTATAGGCTGCCTTTCTCCCTATTGGGAGCCTCACAACAGGCGAAACTATAAAACGAACAGTTTTAAAATACCATATAAATATATATTAAAAACAATTAAACCTGTTATTAAGATTACAGGATAAGATTAAAAACAAAATATTTAAAATATGCTCTTGATGACCTCAGCTGGGTCCTCCTAGGAGGAACAGTGAGGATTTCAGCTTCCAGCCTTTGATTCAGCAGCCAGTTCATTAGTCTACAGCTAACCACTTTATCCAGGTCAGTTGGATACCAACTTAAGTTGTTTGCACTGGGTTATTTGGGACAGAAAAAGGTATCTAAGATATAAGGCAAAGGCAGATGTGTCTGCAGTATTACCTGGCTTCTGTTTCTGGGCTCAGCAATATCCCAACCATATCCTAATGTCACAGTCTAATGCCAACAGAAACTGGAGGCCCCCAACTGGCACAGGACACACATTAAGTTGGCTGTGGCTAGAAAGACTAAGCCCACAGTATAAGGGTGGGGGTAATAAATATAATAAAGGAAATACTAATAAATAAGATAAAAAACAGAAGCCATAAAACTATTAGGCAATGAAACCCTTCCTAAGAAGTTTGAAGTCAGATTCCTAAACACACAGAAGGAAGCAGGAAATCTTACTTCAAAAGATTTTTCAGCAGACCCAGTACAATGAGGAAAGTCCTCTGGCTGTCCCCCATAGTACTTCAGAAGGCTGAAGACCTGTCACAAGGCCACTCAGATTTTAAGGCATGAGACAAAGTTTGTGGGAGGGGAGAGGAGTTAGTACACACAAGACTGGAGAAAGATATGATAGATAAAGCTGTGGAATAACAAGAATGACGGAATTACAGTATTACAGATAGTGGAATTCATTTCTAACACTCCGGGATCCATTGCTGTATTAAAGAAAGTTGGCATAAAACCCATGGTGACAAGGCTTCAACTTTTTATTTCACATCCTAACCTCAATCATACATTATGGCCCATTCAAAAATACAGATCAAACAATTTACATAGCACACATCCAGAGCTATTGACCTACACTCATGTTCTCTCTGGCTGAGGCCTCAAGCAATATAAAGAACTCTACAAAGGAACTGGAGTGAGGAATGGAAAGAACAGAAATATCTTACCTGTCACTAAAGTAAGAGTAGGTTGAATTATAGGAATTGTTTCCACACAGAACTTTTCAAAATCGGAAGCTCTTTCAGGATCAAGAAATGTACTAATGTGTATATCTGATACCTAAAATTACACATAAAAAGAGAAGGATATTTTTTAAAAAAAACTAAATAGCATATTTAATTTGTAATTCTAGCTTGTAAAAAAAAATTTGGGAGTAAATAAATTCAATTGAACCCAGTTACTTCCAATCTGCAGAAGCTTGAGCTGTTAGGCAATCAGTCACAAACGACCTTTTTACAAAACAAATATTGTTTAACGAGAACAAGGCTTGCAATACTTATTGCTTCATTTCATAAGCACAACTTTTATGTGTCACATGTGAAACCAGCTAGGAAACAGTGTATGTAAATCTGGGAATTAGCAACACAGTATATTTCTACATTTTTATTTCCAAGGAATTCAGTCACCAGATGCAGATTCATTGCAGGACTAAGACATGCTGTGAAACATCCACAGACTGTTTAATACGCAACACAACTTGTGGGCAAAAAAATACAGACAGACATCCAAAGCTCTTACACTGGTAGGGTACCATCTCTCTACACCTGCTGCAACAATGTCAGGGTACGCTAGACCTAAATCATTAACCTATCAAGATGATTTCCTAATCTCAATTATCAGACTTACCTGTCAGTCATCAGTTATTTTCCACAGCGAGAGCCAGCCCGCCTCCACCGGGCCAATGCACCCCCGACGAGAGAAAAGCATCATCTTGGACCCTTATCTAATTTGCAGGAAAATCACGCACATACATAACAGGTGAAGTCCTAGATCTGCGGTATTTATGTATTTAACCCAAAAGGTGGCGGCCGTTTCCCCGCGCCTCCCCTCCCCTCCCTGCCTCCACTCGCCTGAACGATCCAGAAGAGGTTGCCGGCCTCCGCGCCGGGCGCCGGTTCGGGGGCGAAAGGGTGCGCTCGAACCCCCGGGAGCTGCTGCGGGGGCCCCGAAGGGCTGTACCGGTCCACCACGAAAGCGACGACAGCGGCCGCAAGCAGGCCGGCGGCCAACCCCTTCAGCATTTTCGCTCCCCCGCCCCCAGCAACCACCACAGCCACCGCCGCCGGTTCGTGTCGCGAGTCCAGCCCACATCGACTGGCTCTTCGTTTCCGCGTCTGCTGCTAGGAAAGGGACGGGCTGCCTTTCCCGTTGCGATTCCGGCAACGCTTCCTGAAGGCCGCCCTTCCCAGTATGCGTGTAGGCGGAGGTGATTTTCCCCCAATCGAGCACGTGGGAATGAAGGGAGCTTCGCTCGCCCAGCAGGTGGCACGCGCCGAGCCTCCGGCCCACTCCCGTTATCCTGAGGCGAGCCGCCTTGGCAACTGAGGAGAGCTGGGCTCGATCTCTTCTCGGCCCCTTAACACGTTTGGAATATTTCAGCGGACATCCTTCCCTGGTGTGGATTACCGGGATTTGTAGTCTGAGGGCGGGGAGATCACAAATCTCCCCGCCCTCCGGGAGATCTGGATTCTAATTCCTGCTCAGCCCCAGAAACTCATGGGGAGGAACACTGATAAAACAATTTTTTAAACATCCCCCATGCCTGGAAAACCCTGCTACAATCACCGTCACTTGATCTCTCTTGATGAAACAGGACAGGAAGCTCCACTGCATTCGCAAGTTTTGGCATTAAGGTCTCTTTCATGGGGCTTTTCTTCCCATGCAGTCTGCCTCTACTCATCAGTAGGAGCTGTTCCTGGTTTCATGGCAATCTGAGTAGAACATTACTTATATTAAAGAATTTATTTTCAATAAAGAATTACTAAGCCTAGTCATGCTTAGTATTAATAGTACCATTTTGTATTAGCTCACTATGCTAAGATATTAAGAAAGTCCTGACTTTTATTCACATAAGGGATGTATTTGTTAAAAGAATTGAAAGGGGTGACATGGAAGAGGTTACAGATGAGACAACAGAGAATCCTAAACATAATAAAGAGAGCAGAAGTCAGCTGTACCAGCCGGATGAGGAATGCAGATAAGGCCAGTGATACTTGAGAAGTAGAATAATAGAAAAATGAAGTTGGAAGGAGCCTATAAAGCCATCTAGTCCAACCCCCTGCTCAATGCAGGAATAAAATCAAAGCATATCTGCCAGGTGATTATCTTAAGTTTTTTTAATGTCTCCAATTTTGGAGCACTCACCAACTCCCAAGGTATCTGGTTTCACTGTCGTACTGCTCTAACAGGAAGTTTTTCCTGCTATTCAACCAAAATCTGGCTTCCTTTAACTTGAGTCCATTGTTGTATGTCCTGCACTCTGGGATTATTGAGAACAGCTCTTGCCCCTCCTGTGTATGACAGCCTTTCAAATATTTGAGAAATGCTATCATATCAAGTAGGGTATATAAAGGCTAGTGCACATCTATAAACTCCAAGATCCACCTGTACTTCTTCATTCCACAGAATAATATGTCATTTCATAGTGGGCATTCCTCTTTCTCCCACCCTGTAAGTAATTGGAATTGGCCTACCAAGGTGTTTGAACTGTTAACTTCTGCAACACTTAGAGGGATCTGCTGTGGTAGCAAACCATGACAGAAGTGGAGGCATAAGAATATGGAGTTTTTCATCACAATTCAAAATTGCCTGACTAATCTGGTTTTGATGGCTGCGCTGACACTTTCATACTATTTTCACCCCTTCTTACTAGACTGTATTTTTTAAAAATGACTTGAAATTTTTGCAAGTATCCAAAATACCTTGATGTTAGGAAAGTGTGAAGGCAAGAGAAGGGGACGACAGAAGATGAGATGGTTGGACAGTGTCATAGAAGTAACCAATATGAATTTGACACAACTCCAGGAGGCAGTGGAAGATAGGAGGGCCTGGCGTGCTCTGGTCCATGGGGTCACGAAGAGTCGGACACGACTAAACAATACATATTTAAAAGAAAATACTGCTTTTAATTTGAATACTCTGTCTTTCAGGTCCTCTCACAAACTCCTTTTTTTGCAACATTTGTTAATTACAGCAGTTTGAGGAGTTGTTGTGAGTCAAGGGAGGAATCACAAGCCCCACTCATTCATTTGCTTCTCTAGAATACCCTTCCTCAACCCAGTACATTCCAGATACTTTGAAGTGCAACCTCCATTCTCAGCTATTAATTATACTGTCTGAAGCTCATGGGAGTTGCAATCTACAGGTTGGTGGGAAATTGCTCTGGAAAGCAGTGGCTTCTTGAACTGCTTGGTAGACAAAATCCTAATTGCAACTATCTCATAACTCAGCCATCAGTCCATTCAGTGATGGTTACTCTTTAAGTGGCTGGAGGACTGCAGTACTTGATAAATCTGGCAACTCCAACTGCTGGATATGTTTTGCAATATGGCACAAATACATGTCTACAATTAAGTGTATACCTGTAACTGGCTGTTATATACTGGATTCCAATAATCATATGTCTGGTGCCACCAAGTTGGAACTGACTTGTAAAGATCCTAATAGGGCTTTCAGGGTGAGATTTTTAAGGAGTGATTATACCAGTGCCACTACCACCCTACCTTCAGTGAGTTTCCATGGCCAAATAGGTGTTCAAACCCACATATTCTGATTTCTAGTCAGTCTCTCCATCCACTACACCACACTGGAGATCAACAGTAAATATACAGGCCCTGCTTCTCTCAAAATAACCCATCTTGATGGGAAGGCAATACTCACAAGACAATAATGTTGGAAAAAGTTTAAAGGAGGAGGAAAGAGTAAGGTTGAATATAAGATGGCCCGACCCAATAAACGGAGTGGTGTCCACAAGATCTGAGCAGACCAGTTAATGGCAGGACCTTTCGGGGCGGGGGGAGTACTACTTCGTCATAGGTCGGAAGTGATTTAGCGTATAAGAATAATCACGTCCTACAGGGTTGCTGACCTTAGGTGACAAGGAAATTGGGAGGATTTCGCAAATCAAAACACTATCATAATGCAGCAAATATACAATACACCTTACTCTACATACCCATCGTTTATCCAGAAGTAAAACTATAACACCTCCCCGGTATCTGCAACTTTCCCCAGCTGCTTATCCAGTTATTACCGTATACCCTTCTAGAGAGATTCCCAGTGAAATATCACGTTAAACCCCAGCCCTCCGTTAAGCCGCGCTGCCCGGCATCCCGCCAAATCAAGACCTTGCCTCCAAAAGCGACAAGGCAGCTTTCAGAAGGTCTTCTCTTGAGCATGCGTGAGGGATCTGCGCATGCTCAACTGGGCTGAGGGGAAAGCTTCGCTGAGGATGCGGCGCTGAGCTAAGTGGTGTCCCACCCACCCCCTCGTTACTTAAATCGTCCTCCACCACCACCCCCCGCTCTTCCCTTCTTTCTCAGCCTCTGGTTTCCGGTCGGCCTGTGGCGGGGCTGAGGCGGAGCTGAGCGAGTGTCAGTGCTACTAAGATGGCGGACGGAGGCGATATCGCCGGAGGGATGGCTGCAGCGGGCGCCGCCGCCCCCGTCGCCCCCACGAAGCCCACGGAGTTGGCCCGGGTGAGGTTCCGCTTCCCCGTGGGTCTCCTCCCCCCTCCCGTGGGATTACGGGCGGGGTTCCCGTGTGTCGGCTGTGGTGCCGGCTCCTCTTCCCGGGCTAACGAGACAACCCTAAAAGGGTTGCAGCTGATGGGCTGCACGGGGAGCCCTATATAGCCCCCCCTTCAAGGTCTGTTGTAGGCAAAAGGGGGTTGCGTACTTTGAGGATGTGAATGCCCCACGGAGGGAGGCCACCCTGTACGGCTGTTAACTGCGCCGTGTGCTTGCTTGCCCGAAAGGGGTCTTTTTCCTGCAGGTTTTGCTCTCCCGCAAAGGGTTAATCCCGGTGGCTCTGTCAAATGGGAGTGGACACCTGCGCCGCGAATAAATAAATACAAAGAGTAGGCTGTCAAGCCCTTCTTTCGATGTCTGCCAAAAATGGGGGCTTTGGGTGTTTGTGTGTGTAAACTGTTTTCCTAATTGTGCGGGTGCTGGAACAAAGGGGTATGGTTTCACGGGGGGGGGCTGTTCCGTGAAAGATAAGCATTCCTACATAAACCTAATACATTGGGAATGCACTTGATTCGAAGGCTGCATTTGAAGCATAACACTAATAATGAAGTAGTTTTCCAAGTGGCCTTGGAAAAAAACTTTCTTCTGCTAGGAGTGATATTTTCCCAAATCTTGAATAAAAATTGTAAGACATCTACCCGTGCTGCCAGCTTTTTTTAAAATTCGTAGACTAAATGCAGAGTTTTACAGAGAGTAAAATAACCACGAGTGTTCCCTGAAGCCCAAAGAACAACAGCAAAAATATTTGCTGCCTGCCCCTTAGTGGGTTGGTTCTTAGCCACAATCTTAAAGGCATTTACTACATCTTAAATTTGTTGGGCAGTGCAGTTGTTAAATGTGTTAGAACTGTGCAGTTAATATGTTTCCTGTGTTGTGAGTACATTTTTATGTTTTTGGAAGATTTTTGTTAAACGTTTTAAAGCTGTTTACATGAGTTCTTTAGTATGTTAGAATTGTTGGAAGCTGTAGATATAAAGGAATGGAAAGGAAAAGTGAAAGTTTGCTGGTAGTTAAACTTGTGCAGAATGGTACAGTACTATAAGAGGTTAGTTGGTAAGGGTCAAATATCAGGACTAGGAGCTTGGAGTAGTAAAGTAGGGTGGAGAGGCATAAAGAGAAGCTAACTGGATAATTACCTTTTGTTTGTGCACTGTTTGCTTAGTAGTGAATATAATTAGATAACAGGGAATTTCAGGTTCAGAATCTGTTAGTTTCTGTTTAAGTGAAACAGGCTGCATTTTCTGTCAGTACTTGAGGTGTGCACTTTTAGTTGTTTTTTTTTTACTCCAGTTCCTAGCATTCTGCAAGAATTCCACAGGTGGAAGTTTCTGCCCACAAGCACACATCTGCAAACATCTACACATTACTCACCTAAAATGTACATGTCCGGATGTTCATGGGCTGAAACTCTCAGAATTTTGTCTGGCAAATTCTTGGATTTTGAGTAAAAAAACAAAGTAAAGACCACACCACTGTCAGTACTTCTTAACCTTTCCATATCTTAGGTCACACCAATAATTCTATCAAAGACTTGGAACCGGTTGTGATTAAAACAAAATAGCCACTCTTTCTGTGGAGACTATATTTCTTTCTATGAAGAGTATATATTTATAGGCATTCTCTTTGTTTTGTTTATCCTTTATTGTGAGTTTTAAGAACAAAGATTGTAGTGATAATGGTGGGAGTGAACACAAACAAATCTAAATCTACCAGTTCTTGAAAACTTTAGTGCTACTATTGAGTGTAAGTTTAACTGCTACAAAATAACGAAACAAATATAATGTGTTCGTTTTCATTTGTATTATTCACAGTAAGCTTACGAAAACTTTGCATCCCACCTAGGCTACTACTACATTTTGTAGGTCAGCGGTCCCCAACCTTTTTCAGTCCACGGACTAGCTGGGGAAGGCGGGGCACCCCCCGCGCTCATGCGCACGTGTGAACAAGCGTTCTTTCTTTCTCTCTCTCTCTTGCACAAGCATGCACCGGGCCGTGCGAGTGCCACTCTGCCAGTTACACATGCGCGCAAGTATGCACATGCACAAGTGGCACCGTGGCGCTTGTCTGGGCACGTACATGCTTGTGCTCGTGCAAACGGTGGAACAGCGCTTGCACAGGCATTCTGGAGTGTGCACAGGTGCAAATGGGCTGTGCAGGGGTGAGTGCTTGCAGGGGTGGGGCAGGAGGTCTGTCTCAGCGGCCCGGTCCGGTTCAGGCCAAGGACCGGCACAAGCACGGACTGGGGGTTGGGGACTTCTGCTGTAGGTGGTATGTGACTTAGTTGAAAGAACCAGTGTTTTGTTGGCCAGAATCCTATTGGTGTTTGGATAAAGTTTATTTAATTTGCCATTGTTCAGCTGCTAGGTGCATCCTAGGTACATGAGCAGACAAAGATTGAGATGTGCCCTGACTGCTTGCCAGCTAGTTACAGCACATCACAAAACTTTATGTGAACACCAGTAGGATTCTGTCCAGAAAGCATCGTTCTTTCTTTCTGGTTTGCAAGATGAGCTTCACGAGTGACTAAAGCAAATATCATGCATGTTGTCCCAACCTTGGGTTACCCAGGTGTTCTTGGGTTGTAGCTCCCAGATATCCCAGCCAGTACAGCTGATGATGAAGACTCCTGAGAACTGCAGTCCAAGAACACCTTGGTTACCCAAGGTTGGGGACCACTGTTGTGGGAGGCTTTCATTTTTTTTGTGATAGCTCATAATAATCCACTTGACAGGAATTTTGAGAAAGTTTTGCCTTTCTCTTTCCATTTTCCCTTTAATTTTGTCAAAATGAGATAGTGTGAATGCATTTATTTATTTATTTATTTATTTGATTTTTATCCCGCCCCTCTAGACATGTCTACTCGCATGGTAGAGACTTGCTCATATGTGTATTGTGCCAGATAAGAAACACACATGTATATAATATTACTTTTTAATTCTAGATACATGGGAACAGTAAGTTGGAAATGATTGTGGCTTGCTTTGCATATATTTTAGAAGGAGTGACAGTTATATCAGTGGGCAACTGTGCATGTTCCTATTTCATTTTTGATATTCAAAGACAAACTGCACATAAGAGTAGCTCTTGTATTTATTTGTTTATTCAGTTCATTTATATGCCACCTTTCTCCACAAACCGAGAACTGAGGTGGCTATTAAACATGGTGCACACCTGGGAAAGGAAAAAGTGAATAAAATGGCATTTCCTCTGAAGGAAGATGTCTTAAAATGCTGTGGACATAGAGAACAGATAAACTAATGACTGGGTGTCTGAGAAACGGGTCTGAAGGTGACAACAGAGGTAATATTGTATTATCTAGAAGTTTGAATTTTGTTAAGATTTTGATGTAATTAGATGTTGAGGACTAAATATACTCCATGCATTAACATTGGCATTTATTAAAACATCCACAACTCTAGATATCTATTGTTGTATAAAATCACAAGATCATTATCCAGGGGTTTCCAAACTATGGCCTGAGGACCACATCAGGTCTGCCTTGCCTTTCTTTCCAGGCCGGTCCTGTGTGGGGCAACCTTTTTAAAACTGCCTACTTTCCTCTCTATGGTACTTTGGTGTTTAATTAGGCAGCTGCCTCCCCCATCTCTATGATTGCTGCACTTTCATGGCCACTGTGACATGATTCGCAGAGGAGGGAGCTGAGTTCTTGCGAGAAATGCGGCCTGGCAAGAGAGGGGTGTCCGTGTGCGCAGTGGCAATGAAAGGGGGCAGAGTGGGTGAAGGGGGCCTGGTAGCGGTGAGGCTGACAACTATGGTGGCTCCTGCTGCTGGGACTTGATTGGTGAGTAAATTGACAGTGCTGGGGTTGCCTTTGGGGATGGAAAAGGCGATGCGGTGGCTCAGGAGAGGGAAGCTGCAGGTGGTGTCGATGTCTTGGAGGGAGACATATTGGAGGCTTTCGACAGTGGCTGTCATGTGAGACCTGCTGGTGGGCGCTGAGAGGCCTGCCCCTGCTCAGGCTGCCAGCGGGCAAGCGAGTGACAGGCAGCCTTTTGAGAGACGCTGCTCTGAGGGGGTCGGTGTCTTGCCTGGGGCCAGGGCAGCGGCAGGCGTGAGATCTCCCCCTCCAAGGTGGGGTTTGGGTCTCTTTGCGCGGGTCCGTCTTCCCACCTTCCTGCGTGTCATGCAATAAGCTGGAGTGCCTCTGTGGCTCCTCTGTTCCTGGCGGGAAGAATGTGAAGGTTTCACCTTGTGAGGATTCTTAGAAATACCCTCCTTCACACTTAGTATCTTGGATTTATGGGGTGGACCCAAGAGTGAAGCCAAAAATTGAGGAACTCAGACCTTTACAGACGAAGAGGGGTTTGAAGAATCACTGAGATTTGAATGTCAGTAAAGGAAATCAGCCACTTACGACAGTTGTTGTTATCATGATGATCACCTTAATTCTTTCTTAGCTGTGTTTAGTTTAAAAAAAAATCAAAGTTTTTGATTTTCTTATCTTGATGGAAAAACAGATGAAATAAGGCTGTTTCAAAATCCTTTTGACTGCAATGCTGAAAAAGTCCAAAGTTAGTTTCAAATGGAAATTATTGATCTCCAGTCAGATGATAAGCTGAAAGACATGTATAAAGAAGGAAATCTGATCCAGTTTATAAATCTTTGCAGCCTGAGCAGTTTCCAAATGTGAAGCAATTTGCTCAGATTTCTGTCAGTTTTTGATACAACATACTGTGTTTGCAACCTTTTCAAGAATGAAGTATGTCGATTCCATCTATCAAGCAAGTTTATCTGATGGGCATCTTCAGTCCATCCTAATTGGCTCCTCAAGCTTGAAACCTCAGTTTGGCAATATTTTAAGATTAAACAAGCAGTTCAGTCATTCCCATTAATATTGTAGCATACACATACAAGTTTGTTGATCCAAATAAAACTTATTCATTCATTATAAAACTTTGTTTCCATTCGGCTCTCAAAAATGTGTAAAA